CATCAGACCTAGTTTTTTTCTTCTATTTTTCCTTTTAGCTTTTTATTTGTTTTATATTTTACTTTTAAAACCTTTTTTATATAATAATATAAAAATAAAAAATCATAAAAAATAATAGACTTAGGATTTTTCAAATTAATTTAATTTTCATAATTTAATTTAATTAATTATTCTGACTTGTTTTAATTAATTTAAAATCAACTAGAATTAGGTTATTTCATTCAAATATTTTCTTAAATAAAAAATGAAAAAATATTAGAATTAGGTTTAAATTCATTTAATATTTATTTTTTAATTAAATTTAAATTTAAGGTAGTTTAATTATCTTCTTAAAATAAACAAAAACCAAAAGATTTTCTTTTAGTTAGATTTTTTTTAGGGTTTTTAGACGTCTCTTTCCATTTCGCACGCGTTATTTTATTTTCGCATTTTTTATATACTAATGTATCTGCTGACAATATGTAATAACTTAAACTAGGGCATTACTTTATCGCTTTCTTTATTTCCCCATTTTTGGACACGTAAATACCCCCTCCCCAAAAGCTTTATAATAGTGTAGGATTTAAGATTTCCGCACTTTAAATTTCTGCAAAATATTAATTATTAGTAATTAGGCTTGTATGGAATGACTGGAAACAAAGCGCTAGCAAACCTAATAACAAAGATAAATTAACTAAATTAAATCACTTGCACATATACACCTCTAGGATATGCCCACTTTGGTTGCCTTTCGGAAAATAAAACAGTCATGTCCCTCGAAAATAGGGACGCTTTAGCAAAGACCCTTTGAATCAAAAGATCATAAGTCCCTCGATGACCCTACAATGTTGCCTTTCGGTAAATGATCTAGTCCCTTAAACAAAATTGCTAAAGCATCTCTATATATTGCCTTTATGATTGTACGTCCCTTCGAATGTCCCTCAAACATCCAACGATAGGGCTACCTACTCACTAATAGTAGGATAGCACTGTCTAAAGGATAAGAGGAAAAGAACAGACCTTTTTCGAGTATAAGTAGATAGTTATTAAATGCTTGCTCAAAAACAAACTTTTTTCCCTTACACAAGACATTTCAAAAACACTTTCAAAAAAATTCTTTATCAATACTCTTGAGGACTGATACAAGAGTTATCATAAACCGAATCGCCGCACTAAGGCATTTTCAAATACTTTTCAAAAACCCAAAGCACAAGATATTTAAAAAATGAGCTAAGCATCTAAGAGCCCGTAGAAAACTACGGATGGAAAGGGTGCTAACACCTTCCATTTCCATAATCTACCCCCTTACTCAAAAAATTCTCGAAAAGGTCGTTTTCTGTTCTTTTCACCCTTTCCTTAATTTGGATAAAAGAAAAGTCGGCGGCGACTCTTGCTTACGGCAACATTTGCAAACACAAATGCAAAACCAGTATAAACATTCAGTTTTGCCACCGTATCACAGGGCCTACGTAGCCACTTGAGTGAACCACTAGCCCCTGGAGCAATAAAAGCATTCCAAGAAGGAGGCCTTCACTAGAAATGAAAATAAATAACATTGGCAGAAACTCTATGAGGCAGCATAAATATATAAATTACAAATACTATTGACTAAAGACCCAAACACGGGCAAAAAATTACAAAAAATTCAAAGCGGGACTTGGGCATCATTGATCCTCTAAGGGATATCCAAAATTATGGATCTTATTTGGCCTCCTAGGACTACATTAAACAAATCCATTGACTCAATTCCAGGTTCGAATAAAGAAAGGGCACTTGCTTTTTCGCCTGATTGAAGTATAAATCAGAAGTCTTTACCAAGTCGTCCTTAAGGGTATACACTTCCTCCTTAAGCTTCATGATGGAATCAAGAGCCTCATTTAAAAATCCTCTTAGTCTAGCAGAGGTGGCATCATATGTTTGCATCTCTAATGCCATTGTCTTATCTAAAACCTTTATATCATATCTCTCATATGCCAAGACCTTTACCGTCTCTTTGTGTTACTTGATGGTCTCCTGATCCTTGGCAAGTTTAGAGTTCAGGTCCTCAAGAGCCTTGACATGCTTCTCTCGTTGAACCCGTCTGATTAGGAGAATCCTCAATAAGTGTGCCTCTTATATATTGGATAACTCCTCAAATGATCAATTGAGAAGTTTCTGGTAATTTGAGAGAAAATCCTTGGGAAAGAAGAGGTAACTCTCAATGAACATGACAATATAAAAAAGAGTGTTCCTCCAAAGGGACAACAAAGGGCAAGGACCATCTCCGACTAGTTAAATTCCACCTCCACCTTTGTTATTTGGTGTGACTGTTGGCGGTATTTTCTTAAGTATTTGAAAAGAACCTTCCTCTTACCTGAGAGTCTTGGAGGGAGGTCGTGAAAGATTATGCTATCCTTGAGGTGTTTCAAGGTTCTCTTTGAAGCTTAGGCTGACAGGCAATAGAAAAGGGCGACGACTGGTTAACTTTCAACCTCTCTCCTTACCAATCGTTCCTTCCTTTCAGCTAGAGGGGCTGCTAACATTTCACCTTGGTAAAACACATAAGGAAAAAGTAGTTAGGAAAGTATACAAGGAACAATACCAAAGGCCGTTGAGTAAGATACTTCCCTAGGTAGTCGTATATCCTGCTATCATCATCATTTAGACCCAGAGAGATCAAGGTATGAGAACACATATATGAAAGCCTAACAATTCCTAAACCACCTCCCCCTTAAAGAGGTTAAGGTAATTGGAAGAGAATCTCGAGGAAACCTTTGAATCACCCTTCCATGACAATGGGAAATGGGGAGCGCTTGCCGCCTTGTTGTAACCCTAAAAGAACTATCTCTACCCTTAACCTTAACAAACTTGTATTTCCAATCAGAGTAGGGGTTGGATTAGGGCCCCAATAATTTCCTCCCTAAAAGGCTGAACAAAGTCACCTAACCACTGGCAGACATCGACCTAACACTAAAGAAATAGAATAATATCCCTACAGAAGAAGCAACCTCTAGCAGGCGACACATAATTTCAAAGGCGCTAATAATAACCCATACATTGGGCGTAATCTCAGAAGGGGCGGTGTTTGTAGTTGGTAAGACTCCGACCTCGAGCTGTGTAAAAGTGATTAAGACCCCTAGGTAAAAAATAACATGAAGATGAAAATAGACACATGGATCAAGACAACCATCCCAAGTGGGCATATTAACTCTCTCCTATTAGGAACAAAGTTCTAGGTTCACATATTCCTCGTGTCTAGTATTGGAGAGACTAATTTGCCTCCAAAAGGCTACAACTCTTCCCTATTAGAATACAGGGATGCAAAGTCCTGCACTTTAACGCGTTTGTCACTTTTCCCAATTAAATCTTGGTATGGTCAGAAGAAGCACGAGTATTAGTGTAAAGATCCATGGGTCACTATTTACAATATCAAAGGGGAAAAGGAAAAACCAAGAACAAACAGGCAAACTGTATCATTAAAATTGATCAAAAACCCATGGAATATGCTCCACACTACTACAAACTCTTGGAAAAATATTGAGCGAAAAAAGGTGTAAAGGAAGAAGACACAAATTTTGTAAAGGTAAGGACATGGGTGGGGACATCCTATCCCTATATGAGTATCTCAATAGTTGCAAGAAGGGATAAAGATCCCCCAAGCCTGACACATACGCATTAAAAAAGGCCAAACTTAGCTTCCCAAGAAGGGTCATCATTAGTTGTATTTAGAGCAGGACACAATTTACCTATGTAGCATTCTAGTCTCTCTCGACAAATTTATATTCTATTTCTTTTAATGGTTGACATTCGACTTCCCCTAACTGACACAAAGGTTGCATGTCTGACACCCTGGTACACATCATAAGCTCAACTACCCATGCAAGGTGATGCCTCGCAACAAAGTCTCTCATGAGAGATTCAACATATTCTCGTCAAAGGGACTCAACAAAGTCTCACTTGAGAGACTCAACAAAGTCTCGTTAGAGGGACTCAATGAAAATCTCATCTGAAGGACTCGGCAAGGTATTGTCAGAGGGACTCAATGAAGTTTCAACTGAGGGACTTAACAAAGTCTCGCTAGAAGGACTCAACGAAGTCTTGCTTGAGAGACTTAACAAAGTCTCGCTTAAAGGATTCAATCAAAGCTTTACTAGAAGAGTGGCGACCAATGCTCGACTAGGCACTTTTGAAAGGCTTGAAAGTGATGGGTTAAAGCACTTCGGCCTCTACGAGCCCTCGTGTTTGAGAGATTGTACAGTGGAATAATTGAGGAAGACCATAGGGCGAGTCACCCTTGAACTAATTCGAGCGTTCTTCGTCTGATCCGATCGCCCCATGCTTGGATACATCGCCCACTTCTCATTTCTCCGTCCATCACGCACGATCGTGTAAGGAGAATGTATTAGGTCAATGAGAAGTACTTAGACAATCGTGGGACTTAACCGTACCTTCTAAGTTTCGAGGTACCTACCACCCACTTATTACTATATTTTAGGAAAACTTGATTCATTTAATGAGGAAAGACCCCTTGAAAGCTATAAAGGGATCCCAATCTTATATTAAAGGGGATTTGATCTTGTATTCTTGCTTGTTTGGTGTTTATGCCGGTTTGACAAAATTAAAATTTTATTATTTTATTTTAAAAGAATTACTGAAATTTTGTTCAATTCACCGAAATATCTACCATATATATTTCTTTCCTTTTAGATTTTACTAAAAAAAATTCTTTTTGAGCTAAAAAAAATCAATAGATTCACAACCAAGCAAATAAAAAAAAAAAAAAAAAAAAGGAATTAGTTAACTCTTTAACCACTATTTTTCACCCGCATAATCTAGTTAACTAACTCTATTCTATGGTGATATGATAACTGTATGAAATTAAATTATAAAGTAATTACTCCAGTAAGTATAAAAAAAAAGTAAAAAATTCCCTTAATTATATGTTAAGATCAGATAAAGTCAAGCATTAATAGTAACTTGTATAAACCAATGTTTGAATCTTGTTAGAAATTTAAAAGGAAGAAAATAAAGCAGAAAAAGAAATGAGTGAGATTTGTAGGGTTTGGTGTTTCATAATTCCATTTTTGTTAATCTGCAATTTCCATGGCGCCTATTCCACCAATGCGATCATCGATCCAACTAAAGTGAGACAGGTTTCATGGAAGCCAAGGTATCTTTCTCAATTCGCATCTCAAATTCTAAAGTTGGCACTGAAATTTGAATTTTAATGATTTTGATTTTGATTTGATGCAGAGCGTTTGTTTATGAAGGTTTCTTGACGGATTTGGAATGTGATCATTTGATTTCGATTGCGAAATCGGAACTTAAGAGATCTGCCGTGGCCGATAATTTGTCTGGTGAGAGTAAATTGAGCGAAGTTAGAACAAGCTCTGGCATGTTCATTTCTAAGAACAAGGTTGCTTTTCTTTCGGTTCTTCTTTGTATATATTTGTTCATTCATTATTCTGAGTCTTTCTTTCTTATTATTATCATTATCAAATATTTTAACTACTTTTTTAAAGCTTAAATTAGTAGCCTTATTCATTGTAGTTTCAATCGCCGTCGTGGACACTGGAAATACTACTCTGGCACTGAAACGTTGACATCAGTAATAATTTGAAAAAAATAAATAAATTAAACATAATCAGTGTCGGTTTCGGACACTGACGCAGACACACTTTTTTCCAGAGGTATCGGTGTTATAGAGTTTAAAACCCTAAGTTATAATCATAGTTCAGTGCTACGGGTGGATGTAGATTTAACATCAATATTATGCCTGACTGTTATTTCGTGTCTATTGTGTGGGGCTATACGACTATAGAGGAATATCTGTTTTGTAATAAAATGAGAATCCTATGCTCTATGATCTGCGCAGTTATGTTTTAAACTTTTTTATTTGCTTTTATGTTTTTTGAAAGTACTCAGATTTTGTGTTCTGGGATTTCCGTTTGATTTTGAAGGTCAAGTTTTGCTTATACTTGTCGTGAATTGTGTGATGTTAGACACAAGCTCTTGTCCTTGCCTTCTTGTGAAAAGAGCATGGCTATAAAGAAGGATTTTATAGAAGAATAACATGAGATGTTTGGGAGAATATTTGGATTGTAGTTTGAAGTTGTTTAACTTTTTACTGGGTGTGTAAAAATTGTGGGGATCTTTTTGGCCTTATGTTGTTTGATGATGTTAAAAAGTTTATTTATACCAAAAACAAAAGTACTTTCTGAATTGTGAGATTTTTGCTTATTGTATTTAGTTATTTTATAGGATGCCATTGTTTCTGGTATTGAGGACAAGATTGCATCCTGGACCTTTCTTCCAAAAGGTATGTCGTATACAAAATGATGATTAAAATCTATGGCATCTGATAGAATCCAGAGTTTACGGGTAACAGAAGTGCATGATTAATTGGAAATGGTTGAGCTTAAAGCTCTTACAATACTAATCACGAGTATGTTTGCTTGTTGAATAAAACTGAGGCAAATGAGTTCAGGAATGAACAGTGATGGTAATTTTAGGTTTAAGAGTTATTATGATCTATGAAAATTATAGGGTCCTGACCCCAGTCTATCTCTTCCATCTGTATTCATATGGTTATGGGTCCTCTCTTATTTTCTCTCCTTTCTCTGTATCTCTCACTTAATCTAACTCTCTCTGGATTATATTTTTCTTCTTTAATCAAGAGAGTGAATAAAATTAAGAGAGATAGAGAGTAAGGAGAGGGAAAGAGAGAAAATAGAAGGAGAGGATCCAAAATCATGAAGTTTGGAATTGTTATTGCAATTCTATATTCATCTAAGCTTCCAATAAAATGTTACTATGAACTTTGAACTTGTACCAATTATATAAGAAAGCTACACCAAATGAAGCTATTAACATGTAATTTTTTAAACAAGGAAACTATTTTTGTCTATTGCATTTAATGACATCTTATATGCTATGTACATATTTACTTAAATATCATTCTTGAAAGTTTTAAATCAACTCCATTAAATTGTTTTCTGTGCTAATTTTCTAGTTTTAGCTTTGAATCTAGTTTTCAAAATGACCTTAAATTGGTATTCACTAGTTCTTCTATGCAAATAATCTTCATAATATCATGTACCAAAAAAAAGTCTTCATATACTAGCATGATCAATTAAATAGTTTCAAGCTTCTCTTCCCTCCTTCCTCCCCTTGCCCTAAAACAGAAAAAATAAGAACATAGAGACACTAATCTATTGCTTAAAGTATTTGATTGTTGAATTTCAGATAATGGCGAAGACATACAAGTATTGAGATATGAACACGGGCAGAAATATGACCCACATTATGATTACTTTTCTGATAAAGTTAATATAGCTCGGGGTGGACACCGGGTTGCCACTGTTCTCATGTATCTCACAAATGTGACCAAAGGCGGTGAAACTGTGTTCCCTAATGCAGAGGTTTGTCTAGTATCTAATACACATGTTTACATAGAATCAAAAACATAATATTGATAAATATTAGAATATAGTCAAAGATAGGAAGGTGAATGCTATTCAAACCCTTTGTAATGACTGACATATGTCAAGTCTAAGTTGTAGGTAACCTGCTATAGCAGGTCACACAGTTGCTACTATAAATGCAACTGTGTGTCATCATTTGTAACTAACTTTTACATAACAGAATTCTGTTATAACAGAAATGAAAAGTTCTTCTATGATTTCTATCATGGTATCAGTTTAGCTAGTTTGGATCCATGGCGTCACCAATTCCTCCGGGATCGCCGTCTTCCGCTCACGTCACGTCTCACAACTCGCCGTCCATGGCGGCGACTGATGAATCGCGCCGCCTACAATTCTCACTCAAGATCGCGCACAAACTTGACAAGAAAAACTTCCATCTCTGGCGTCAGCAAGTAGAGCCTTACATCAACGCGCATAATCTTACAGATCTCGTCGTCTGTGTTATTTTTCTGAAATTATGATTGGCATGAATTTTGGTAAAACTAACTTTGCAGCAACATATTGAACAAGGTGTTTCAACTTGCAGATTCAACATGTTGAATGTGATGTTCTAACTAGAAGTATAGGACATCTGGGCAGTTACAGTTTTGCAGTTTGGAAGATGTTTCAACTTGTTGTATGAACATGTCGAATGGGATGTCCTAACCAGAAGTATAGGACATCAGGTCTGCTACAACTGACAGTTTGGATTCAGTTGTTGTGATTTAATTACTTAATATTCTGGGAGTATTTAGTAATCCTATGTGGCGTCCAAGATTGATAAATCAAAGATTTTATGTTGGTATTCAAGATATTAAAAGTTTCTAAATATGCAGACATTTTAGGGAAATTTTGATTGAAGACATATTTTCTTGGAGAAATTTTAGCAGACATTGTGCAGTCTCCTTGCTGCGTTGTTTAGGCTCAAATCCAGTTGAGTAAAGGGTTATAAATAGAAGCATTTGTAACCTAAAGAGGTACCAGCCGTGAATTTAAAAGATGTAGTTATTAGGGCTGAGTCTGTACCACTCTCTAGGAGAGTTGGTTTTGTGTTCCACTCGGGTTGTGAGTTGGACTGTGTTACAGAGTTGTAATCTGATAGAGGCCCAATTGCTGAGTCACCATCACATGAGAAAATAATTCACCACAAGACACAGGGACCCAAGACTTGGTTGGTATATTCTAGAAGGGGTAAAAAGGGAAATAGTGGCTAGGTTGTTAGAATGCTGACGTGGCCATTGGAGTGAGGGGAGCGTACAACGTCCTTCCATGATATAAGGAATGGTGTGAGAGAATGTAGATCTATCTGAGAATTTAGTAGAAAGTACCATGAATAGGCAGCTCTAAGCTACCTATAGGAGCGTTTGCTCTGGTCAAATTAGGAATAGAAATTTCCTCTTTCTGTAATCATTCCTTTTCCACTTATTAATAAAAAGCTCTCCTACTCTTTTTTCCACTTAGATTCTCATTTTGATTTCTGGTTCGTATCAAACTGGTCCGACCTACCGGATACGACGGTGGAGCCAGTGAATGCCACCTAAGAAAGTTAGGTTGCCAGCGTTCAAGAAGATGGAAGCTAAGGTTGAAGCAAGCTTTAGAGAGTGAGATCTCGGAGGTACGGTCGACTCTCGTCGAGGTGCAGAATACGGTGCAGACGAACCATGCTAGTTTGATAGCGATGTTGGAGAAATGCTTGGGTAAGTCATTAGTGATTGATGAAGGAGACGCAAGCGTCTCTGTTAAGGGCTCACCAGCGGGACCGAGGAAAATAGTTCAACAGAGTATAGTCGTCAACAGCAATGGTGGAGATGCATTGACGGAGTTTCATCAATCCGTTAAGAAGGTTGAACTTCCGGCTTTTGACGGTGAGGACCCGACAGGGTGGATCTCGCGAGCAGAAGTGTACTTTCGTGTCCAGGACACGATACCAGAGGTGAAGGTAAGCTTGGCACAGTTGTGTATGGAAGGGCCGACGATCCACTTCTTTAACTCTCTCATCGGAGAGGAAGAGAATCTGACATGGGATCGATTGAAGGAGGCGTTGTTAGAAAGATATGGTGGTCATGGGAAAGGTGATGTTTACGAACAGTTAACGGAATTAAAGCAAGATGGAACAGTGGAAGAGTATATCACTGAGTTTGAGTATTTAACAACTCAAATACCCAAACTCTAAGAGAAAAAATTTCTGGGTTACTTTCTACATGGATTGAAGCCGGAGATACGCGGAAAGGTTTGAAGTTTAGCCGCCATGGGTGAGATGAATCGAACCAAAATTCTGCAGGTGACGAGAGCTGTGGAGAGGGAAGTGAAAGGTGGTGGATTGGGTTTTACTCGTGGGCCTAGACAAGGGAATGGGTCGTTTAGATCTGGGTCACATGGGTCGGGTAAAGGAGGATCCGACTGGATCATGGTGAAAGGAAAAGAAGTGGGTCCAGCTGGGGGTGTGAAAGGCGGGTCTGATGGGCCCAGGAATACAAAACAAGCCCAATATGAAAAAAAAAGGAGTGGGCTGCGTGATAGGGGATTTACCCATTTGAGTTACCAAGAGCTGTTGGAAAGGAAACAAAAAGGATTGTGTTTTAAGTGTGGGGGACCTTTCCACCCAATGCATCAGTGTCCCGATAAACAACTAAGAGTTTTGGTGATGGAGGACGAAGAGGGAGATGACCCAGAAGCAAAAATCATGGCTGTGGAGGTAGAGGAGACAGATGAAGAAGACGGAGGGGACATGTGTTTGTTGGATCTAAATCACATGATCCATGAACATCATCACACTGTGAAGTTCCAAGGGGAGATTCATGGTGTGCCTGTACATGTATTAGTGGACAGTGGGGCAACTCATAATTTCATTTCTCAGAAGTTAGTACACAAAATGGAGTGGCCCATTGAAGACACACCTCAAATGAAGATCAAGCTGGGAGATGGCTTTCAAACAACAACCAGAGGGGTCTGTCGTGAGTTAGAAATGTGTATTGGAAAATTCAAGTTAATGCCAACTATGCATTTATTTGAATCAGGAGGAATTGATGTAGTTTTAGGAATTGAATGGCTTCAGACATTGGGAGACACCATCATGAATTGGAAGCAACAAACTATGAGTTTCTGGAGCAATCAAGAGTGGGTGACATTACAAGGCATAGAAGGATGTAAGGGGTCTATAGTGGCTTTACAAAGCATTTTGAGTAAACCCAAGATGAGCACTCAAGGGGTAGTGTGGAAGACAGAGAAACGGGACCACACAATTCCAGGTCAAGAGTTGACTGGGGAGCAGCAGTTAGAGTTGGAGACTGTGCTGCAACAGTTTGCATCAGTATTTCAAGATCCAGCTGGATTACCACCCAAAAGAAACAAAGAACATGTTATCAACCTTGTGGAGGTGCAGGGAGCAGTGAATGTGAGGCTCTATAGGTACCCCCACCATCACAAGAATGAGATAGAAAAACAAGTCCAGGAAATGCTTGCTTCTGGAATTATAAGGCCCAGTACTAGCTCTTTCTCAAGCCCAGTGATTCTAGCGAAGAAGAAGGACCAGACGTGGAGGATGTGCATAGACTATCGAGCCCTCAATAAGGTAACAGTTCCTGACAAGTTTCCCATACCTGTTATCGAGGAATTATTAGATGAATTCCATGGGGCTTATTAGAGTGAGATATGAGAGAGAAGAGAGAAAAAGCTAAAAGAGAAAAGAGAGAAACAGATTCTGTTATTGCTTAATTGGAAAGGAGCATTATGCTCTATTTATACAAGAGGAGATGAACATTCAAGAGTTGAATCATTCAAGCTCTACAATTAAGGAAGACTTTTCTTATTCTATTAAATTAAGGCTGGACTTAATTATTCTATAGTGCTGATTATTCATATTCTAAGATATAACTCTAATACTCCCCCACAAGCTCAAGGTGGCTGCAAAGGCTGACTTGAGGCAGACAGGTTGAGCTTGCTGCTGAGCTCCATAAATCTTGAACATGAGAGAGGCTTGGTGAGGATGTCAGCCTTCTGGTCAACACCAGGAATGTGGCAGACAGTGAGAGACTTATTAATCACCTTTTCTCTTACAAAAAAGAGGTCAATTTCCATATGCTTTGTTCTTGCATGAAGAACAGGGTTATGAGCCATAGCAACTGTGCTCTGGTTGTCACAATAGATGGTTGGAGTTGTCAAGGGAATTTTTAGTTCAGCTAGCAAAGTTTGAACCCATAAAACTTCAGCTGTGGTGTGAGCCAAGCTGCGATACTCTGCCTCAGCACTAGAACGAGCAACAACAGTTTGCTTTTTGGACCACCAAGAGATCAAATTAGGGCCTAAGTACACAGCTGACCCAGAGGTGGATCTTCTATCATCTGGGTCAGCAGCCCAGTCAGCATCACAATAGGCTTGCAGAGAGAACGGAACAGTGGAGGCTGGAGTGAACAATAAACCAGAGGTGATAGTTCCTTTTAGGTAGCGCAGAATACGCTTGACAGCTAGCCAATGGGACTCCAAGGGGTGTGCCATGAATTGACATACTTTGTTAACAGCATAGCAGATTTCTGGCCGTGTAATTGTTGCATACTGCAGGGCCCCTACAATGGACCGGTAGTGGGAGGCATCAGACAAGGCAGCAGACCCTGTTTTGATGAGTTTGGTGGAGGAAGCCATAGGAGTAGCAACTGGATTGGAATTCTCCATATCAGTTTTGATTAGCAAGTCCCTTAGGTACTTAGATTGAGTGAGAAGGAGATTTCCATTGGACAATTTCTTCACCTCAAGGCCCAGAAAATAATCCAAGTCACCAAGTTGTTTGAGAGCAAACACATGATTTAATTGTTGAGTAACTTGCTTGATGAGAGGAGGGGAGTTTCCTGTGATGATTATATCATCAACATAAACCAGCATATAAATGACAGCATTGTGGTGCTTGTAGATGAAAAGTGAAGTATCACACTTGCTGTTTAGAAAGCCAAAGGATAAAAGAGTGGTTTTGAGTCTTTCAAACCATTGCCTCGGGGCTTGTTTTAGGCCATACA